CCTCTGTTCCCTCGTGTGGGGGTTTACTTTATTTGAAGAGAACAGCGCTGAAAACATATACGCTGCCTTATTTATTTTATTCTCCCACGCAATGTCAAAGATGGCGCCCTAACCTGTACAGAGGTCATCACAGATGGGAAGCATAGTGTGGAACAATTCCACAGTTCTTTTTCACAGCAAAACAGCGAGTTTATTGTTTTGTGGTAAAATTCTAATATCTGTTCGGAATGTTTCAGTAATTTCAAGGTTGGACAGTCTGGCTGATTGCAAGATTGCGTGTCAGAGGCCACGCCGGCAAATTATAAACCACGTTTCCAGCTGTCTTTGTATTCAACAGCGCGGTGAGGTACGTTTTATTCTGATTGAATGACAGATACTGACATAAGTGGCATGTTATTGAATAAACCATATCTATAACTGACCGTAAAAGTCGTTGTGCTACGACCCCCTATAGTATGAATGCATTTATAACCTGCGAACGGGGCCATTTGCCTTACAATATGAAAACATTTTTTTTGCTAGTTTTTTTTTTGTTGTTGTAAAGATGCAGTATGAACAAAAACTTATATTTTTGACCCCGTGTGCGAAGCACATAATAGGAGTCTTTGCAGTTAGCGTGTCTGTCTGTATGTAGGGGGTGTCCTTCCATGTAGGTAAAAGACTTTTACCTGCATGTTTCGTCTGTCCTGATTTCTCAAGAACCATAGTTTGGTTTTTGATGAAACGTGATGCATAGATGCTCTGGGCTAATTCACATATTTGATTATGTTTTGGTTGAAATTCATGCATATTAATTACCTAATTTTTATGATAATTAGCTGATTTTTAGCTATTCCACGACTGTTCCACTGATATCTGAGGAACCACTCATTGGATTTTGATGAAAATTGGCAGATATTCTGTGGATTAATGCACAGATTTGATTAGTATTGGGTAAAAATCCATGCATATTAATTACACAGTGCACAGACCAGACTGGTTTTAGGTTAATAATATTTGCAGGCCTAATTTAATTTAATTACCTAATTTGCGTAATTCATATAATATATTCAGTATAGGTCTCCCCACCTTCAAAATTAACAACTTCCGGTTCGTATAAACCACAGCTTTTATACACCCTGAGAACAACGCAAACTGGAGATTCATTTCATAAGGGAGAGTTCCGACCCCGGGACACCTACTTAAATATGAGTGTGTGAATCGACGACATTCACGGTGAGTGTGAACTGAAATATTCCACCAGCGTGCATAACACGTGATGCCAGTTCAAAGGTCAATTCGGGAGTCAAACGTGCTGATACTGTTTCCAGTGGGTGGCAGATCCCGAGATGCTGCATAAAAACTATTACATCCGTCATTTTTGTTACCTCTTCCCGCGTTACGTGCTGTGCGATTTCTAACCCCAGAGTTCTTAAGACCACCCACCTTATTCTTGCTATTGCGTGTGAGTGTAACAATCACGGTGTTATTTGCATGGTCACAACACATGCCGATCACTTTAAAACATGGTTCAAAAATGTATTTTTACATCAGATTATCATTTTAACTTTTCATCTAAGTTTTGGAGTTTCTTGATTACTCACAGATCTCAAAGTTGCTTTAAAAAGAAAAGTTGTATTTAAAAAGTAAAGTAAAGTAACGTGTAATAAGTTATTGCAGATTCGTTCTTGGTTCTGTCATCTTGACTTCTTGGTATACTAGTGACTGCAACTTTTCGTTGAGTGTTGGTAGGTTCAGCAATGCAGCTGGTTCTCGGCGCCAAAAATGTGATAGAGGAAATACATAGATCAGGAAAGACGATATCACGGAGAGACGTTCGATTGGTGGTTGAAAGAACTCTGATTTATTCTGGAAATGGTCACGCAATACATAACGCACGTAAAAGGTGTCGCCAAAACAATACATTGCGCTGACCAGGTGTCAGGGATTAATTAAATCAATTAATAGTATTACAATAATTAAGATCAAACATAAATAGAGTATAAAGTAAGTATGAACATAAACATACAGAGTGAAAAATAAACAAAAACAGTTTCCCACAGTTATTGTTGTTGTTGTTGTTGTTGTCTTTGACTTTTTTCCTGTGGTTACAAGAGTTGTTTTCCAATCT